GGGGGCGACTGCCGGCTGCACCTGCTGAAACGCGGTCCTGAAACGGGTCGGGCTGTGGAAGCCAAGCGCGCCTGTTTCCCACGACGGCCAGCAGCTCCCTATTCCGGGGCGCAGCCCTTCTGCCTCCGGAGGCGCCTCGTTCCGTGGGAAGCGCCGGGCTTTCGTGAGCCGGTGCCTTCCGCGCCTGAACGTGCCAAGGGAGGCTCGAGGCCGGCTCGTGGGCAAGGTGAGCCGGCCGGGCGCTTGGGCAGCTGGCGAGGCTGCCAGCGCTCCTGGCATGTCGCCGCCTGCGCCGACGTGGAGAGGAGGACCGGTTGTTCTCGCAACGGGGATGGGTGGGGGCATGCCCAGGAAGGATGAAGGGAACAGGGCGAGGCCCGCGTGGTTGCCCTGGCAGGGCCCTGGCAGACGGCAGAGAGAGGGCAGGCGGAGTTGCCCACGCTTGAGAAAAGCTCCCCCCCCCCGGGCAGGATCCGAAAGCAGCACTTCCCTGGGAACGGCCGGCCGCGCTCCGGTTCTCCCAGGGTTTGGGAACGAATCCTGCTACTTTTGGGTGGCCAGAGTTTCTAGTGCCCTTGAAGAAGAGGAGCGCTGAGCATTATTATGTTAATCCGTGCAGTTTTTCCAAAGGGAGCCTGGGGGTGAATTGCCTTCCCCGAGAATCGTTACCAAAATGGGTTCTGGACTGCTTTTTTAGAAATGCCCAGCTGGCGTTTGCATGCTTTATTTTTCAAAATAAACGGAGACGCCTTCGGTGAATTTATTCAGGAACAAGCGCCGCTGTTTTCAGTGAGCAAGCGGGTAACCTGACTTCGCAGGTTTTTGGTAAACTTGATAAGAGCAGAGAAGTTGCTCCCAATGCAGTTGACGGTTCTCAATCATTCTCTGCTGTGTGCAACTCCAGCAGAGTATTTGTGTTGTTCTGGAGAAGCCCGGAGATTGTGAGAGAAGCTGGACAGCACCGGATTGCAGAAGGCGGTTTTAGGGTGTGCAACCAAATTATCCCTGGTGACAGCTAGGCACAAGATGTACCCACTGGATGTGCACACAGGTGATAGTAAGAAGTATGAGAACATACTCCAACTTCTCTGTATTGTGTGAAAGGCAGCTTCTCTGCCTCTCCATCATGTGCTTGAAGGTGGCAGAGCTTCACTGAAAGAAAGAAAAGAATGCCGCTGCCTAAACCAGGAATGAGGAACATCTGGTTCTACAGATGTTAGATTGTTACTCCCACCCACTCGAGCCAGCATAGGCAATGAGAGTTATGGGGCTGTAGTCAACATGTACCTACCTGTTCCCCTGTTTTAGGATAATTTTTCCGTGATAGGTACAATTTCATATTGCCCAGGATGCCATCCCTTGACTTGCACAAAGGCCAGAATAAAAATAATCTGTAGGTAGTGGATTTAGGTGGTAAAGGGATCCTTCAAAAGAAAATTGCTGACCCATTGATGGGACACTGGAATTCCAAGGCCAGAATATATCCTTTTCAAATGTCGCTGAGTGTTTTTTATTTCTCATTGCAGTGGACTTCTTTGGTCTCCAAACTGTTCAGTGAGATGAATGCAGAACGTTGTGGTTCTAAAATCAGAAGCATCATTTGAAAAAAAATGAAAAGCCCCCTCCCCTTGTGTTTTCCAGTCCACAAATGTGAGCAGCTTCCCAACATGGAACCCCCCCTTTCATGCACAATAAGTGGTCAGTAAGCTGCTGTTTATTAAACTGCAGTGGCTGGCCATTTGAATGACTCTTGTTGGGAGTTACCACTAGTAGTGTGATGCTGCACTCCTGTTATGAAACAGCTGTGCCAATTAATCTGATTACTAGCAGATTAAAGAATCTTCTCCTTGAAACAAAAATAGTGAAAAAGTGTAAGCCCTGTGTGCACATGAAGATGTCCAAGGAGTGTACACATTCTGGAGCTGTTCACTCTTCAGCAGGACTTCCTCTGGATTCTTCCTCAGTTATTTTGCTGTAAAAGCATGGAGGACTTTTTGGACGTACGGTGTTCTGTTACTATGGATGCAGTCTTCCCGTTTGTAGCTTCGTATTCTCAAGGTGGGCAGAGCAAGTAGCAGTAGGCAAAGGTGGTGTTACTAGTCTCATGGAAACATTGACGGTTGATGCCCATCACTTCCACCAAAGTAGTATGTTATGTTACTAATAGCAGAAGAAGAATTTGGCTCGTGGTAGCATACCACTGTTCCAATAGATAAGCTGCAGTGGTCTAACTTTTCCTTTTGGAATGATGATTGCTGTTGCAATAGTTTTTCACTTTCTGGTGCAGTTTATAGATAGCATGAAGAACCAATGAATGGACTGTAGCAGGAAGGTTATTGGATCTCAAAATTTGGGGGAAAAACAATGTGTGATTCAGTAAGGAATAAACTGTGATGTTAAAATTTTTATCCAGGTGTGAAGGATTAGAAGCCTGTCTTTCCCCTTCCTTGCTTGCCAGCTGTGTAGGGCAGCATTCCACAGAAAAAAGAATGAAAGTAGGCTGTCTTAACCACACTGAAGATGCAAGTTAAAAGCTATGCATGAATTTATGTTAAAAATGGACCATAGTATGCCAGGGCCCCAACTGCAGTGGGTAGAACTGTCATCTGCCTTGTTGATAATGATGACTAAATGTAGTTGCTAAACCAGCCGCTTCAAATTAAATGACCTTTGCCATACCTAACACAGAAAGAAGTGGAGCCTTTGTGTGGTCCATTATATACAAGAGTCTTCCACAGTGTGGCACCTCCCAGGTCAATTGGATTGCAGCTCCGATAATCTCCAGCTAAAATGAACCATGACCACGCTGTCTAGGGATGATGATGTTAACCAAATAGAGTGGAGGTGGGACGGCATCAAGTTAGATGAATTGTCCCATAATGTGCTAAGTGGGCCTGCTTTGTTGGCCAAGGTGGTAGCAATGAGGTTTAACCGTTTAATGCAGGCTCACTTAGTTAAATGCCATGTTCTTTTGACTAAACGACTAAACACACACACACACACTTAGTTAAATGCCATGTTCTTTTGAATGGAAGCAGTTCCCAGCACATTAAGCCCTGCCTTAATCAGGCATGTATTAGCTTGTGCTACTGAGTTATGCCCGTTGCAGCTCTAGAGGTCAAAAACAGGCAATAGAGAAGCAGGAAGTGCTTTCTTTTGATGTGCAAACAAATGAACTGGCATGTAAGCAGGATCTTCTCCTTAGGCCTGTTGTATTATTTTTTAAACTTGGGTTGGTAGAGAGGTGTGTATAATGGCTACAGTGGAGCAGTAGTATTTACTGTATTCTTAATTTCTGTTATATTATCAAACTTATTGAGGTAGGATAACTTTTAACTGAGATAATGTTCATGGCTCTTGCTCCATTCCAAGTGGGTCTTTGGGTTTCTGTCTCATAACTTCAGATTGTTGTGCATTTTCATTCAGGGATTCTTCTTCATGTGATTTGATTTCATGGATGATATTTGTATTCAACAGTCTACAGAGTCTTCCTTATGTGCCTTATTTATCTTTGCTAAGATCATCTCAGTAAAACAAATGAGAGAGGTGTAGTTGTTGAGTAACAAAGCAGTCTATAAGCTCAACTGTGTCGATGTTTTGATCAGTAGTGAATTGATGGCTCTCTGTTTCCAATTTCCATCCTGTGCATTTGGAGTCTTCTTCCAAAATGTCTGTGTGGTTCTGTTTCTATTCTTCTAATTCACCTCTCTCACGAAACACATATTTTCATCAATGCTACTTCTTTATTTTTTAGACTGCTTGTCATTTCTAGTAAAAGGAACAAAAGTACATGCCCTTACGACCTGTCTTTCTTCCATCTTACCTCTACTTTAATGTTTCCCTCATTCTCAGAGATCAGATTGTATGGTCTTCTGATTAAAGACATTTGTTGCTTTATGTCATAAACTGTCAGGATGCCATAAGAACGTGCTGCATATCTGTTCACAAGAGGAGAG